GCAGTGATCTTGGCTTCTTCAACTACTCGTAGTGCTAACTGTTGTAACTACTTTTATACTGAAACCACAGTTGTCAAATGTCAAAAATAAATTAAAACCAAACAGAGAGAGCAAAAACTAATGGCAAGAAACCATAAAAACGAATAGGCTTCTAATAAACCCAAAAGAAAAATACATAACACTGGTGTAAGCAGTTTTCGTATAATTAATTAGATTCTGTGTTGCCGGCCAGATCAATAAAGTCAAGGGGAGACAAGATTTAATATTCTGTCATAGGGACACTGTGCAAGAGCAAAGTACCTCCAATTTCCATACCAAACTCCATGATAATTCAAAATCGGACGCTGCCCTAAAGTGTACCCATTAGCTAAAATGCAGTGTTTGAAAATGCTCAATCTCTGTTCTGAATAGCCTCTAAACCCAAGATCCTGCCCGTGAGTCGCCGCCGGGTACGCAGCAGGCTGAGTGCCGCACGGTCCGGCTCGGTGCCGGCGCTGGCGGGACGGGACGCTCCTGCACTGCTACCCTGAGTCTCCCCGAGCAGTTTGTCTTTCCAGAAAAAACACGCTCCCTTCCCCACCAAATCTCTGCGCCTTTATGAAAATAGAAATTAAAAGGTAGGATAGAGCACGTTAATTTGATATAGCTACGACCTAGCCGTATTTCCCATCCTCTCCGACTCCCCGGATAGTGAAACATTTGGTTTTCTGACTCCCGGGGGTTAATTTCGTTGTTGTGCCGTCGGGGGCAGTTTCGCTGTTGACTGAACCGCGACTTCTCCGCAGCCCTGTCGCGAATGGCCGGGGCATGGCGGGCATTTGTCCGGCGCGCAGCGACAGCGGCGAGCGCAGAGAGCGCCCCGGGCAGCGCCGACCCCCGCCCAGGAACGGGACCGGACGGGACGGGACGGCCCCGCCGCTCTCTGCCGGCTCAGCCGAAAGTGTCCGGGAGGGTCTTCTCCCACTGAGCTGCGACCAAGAGTGACAATTTCCACACACACCGCTCTGCCGTGCCTTTATTTTCTTTCTTTCTTTCTTTCTTTCTTTCTTTCTTTCTTTCTTTCTTTCTTTCTTTCTTTCTTTCTTTCTCTCTTTCTCTCTTTCTCTCTTTCTCTCTTTCTCTCTTTCTCTCTTTCTTTCTTTCTTTTTCTTTCTTTCTTTCTCTTTCTTTCTTTCTTTTTCTTTCTTTCTTTCTCTCTCTTTCTTTCTTTCTTTTTCTTTCTTTCTT